CACCTGCCGTTTCGCGCCTGTCCCAACAGCTCCGGCTTCGAGATGTTCTGGGGTGGCTTAAAATGCGATAGAAAAGAGCTACAGAACTGTCGCAATGTCCCAAATTGCATTTTCACCTAACCCCCCTCCTCCCTAACCGAACCCAGTAGTCTTTCACTTGAGGAAACAGCAGCAGCACACCCACAGCCCCGCGACCGCTACATCCGACGCGCTGCCGTGTCGATCAAGTCCCATATTTTCCCGGAGATCTGATGGATGTGCGCCTCATGCTCCAGCCCTGAGGTGCTGCTGCGGCTGCTGGGAGCGGGGGATGGATTCTGTCTGACGGCGTGCCAGAGAGAGAGAAAAACAGTGCTGCATTTTTACCGGCTGCTGGAATATCTGGAGCTGCGTCCATGCGCCACCGTCTCGCCTCGGAGAATCAGACAAACTGGAGCAGCACAGACTCTCTCACTCTCTCTCTCTCTCTCACACACACACACACACACACATCATTCTTGACGAGCTCGCATGGGCTGCTTTATTGCACGGCTCTCTCAGTGAGAGATGCACAAACGGGAGCGTACTGTTACAGTGAGCTCTAACTGGAGAAGCACAGCGAGGCAAAATAGCGAGCCTCCTAAACTGCATTTGTAGGTGAACGCATATGATGTCTAGGCAGTCATCTTACTAGGTTTTGAGACACAGCCAATGCGCTCGACTTGATTTCAGCGACATTCAAAGCACTGGAGCAGCGCGCTCTACAGTGCACGACTGATATATGTAACACCTTTACGAACCAACCTAATTTGTTATTTGCCTAATCGACGCGGTTCAAAATGGCTCACTTTAGGAAGTGATATTTGAAGAGGATCTGGCAACCTAAGGGCGTCTCTGGCGAATCGATTCTCCTTTGGCGTTCTGGGACGTGAGTACACGTTTTCATTTCCTAGCGCTGCTACAATCATTGATCACATTTTATTGACATTTTCTCCTTTTTTTCGTGTGTTTCTCTTTTTCTCTCTGTCATCGTCGTTATAAAAGCTAATCACAACTGCCATCGTCATCATCATCATCATCATTACAAAGGATCATCACTCGAGCATCCCAGTACTCTAGTACGCTACTTAATCTAGTACAAAAATAGTAGTTCTCTAGAAAGTGACAAAAATTATGAAAACACAATTTGATTAGTGGACGATAACATTCTGTATAAGCCCACGCTGCAGTTTTGTCATCTGTCTCTTTAAATGCTCATGCTCTTTAAATTTGGGTGGATTCTGATTGGCTGCCTGCCAATGGTTTTTATACTTAAACAACTGAAAAAAAATCATTCTGAAAGTAATTCCAACCATATTGTGTCTCCGTGCTGTTATTGTTGTGGTGTAAAATTTGCAGTTCTCTTATTCATAGTTATAGTTATCATCCTTGGTGTGAATGAGCCTTTATGTTGTGACTGGTTGAAGGAATACTTCACCCAAAAATGAAAATTTATTAAAAAGTCAACACCCTCAGGCCATCCATGATGTACAGTAGAGTTTGTTTGTTTGTTTTTTCATGGGAACAGATTTGGAGAAATTTAGCATTACATCACTCATCAATGGTTCCTCTGCAGTGAATGGGTGCCGTCAGAATGAGACTTGATAACAGCTGATAAAAACATCACAGTAATCCACAACAGGGCTCGCAAAATCGCTAGCCCGACGTCCCGGGGCTATTGTGTTTTCCAGTCGGGCTACCAAAATGTATCACTGCCCTGCCCGACGGGCTATCTTGAACAGTGATATAAAATCACTTCCTTAATTCACGTTGTTCACTCGCTTGTAGGGGTGAAACGGATCATAGTTTATCATTTACACGTGTTTCTAAGTCTTACCAATTTAAACATTCAAGCGTTTTAAACTATTTATGCGCATGAAGAATTCAGTTCGCTAAATAATAAGTGTTACTTCAATAATAAAAGAACCATATTTTTTTGCTCATCTGAAAAATGATCCGATCTGTGACTCAAAATGTGATATGATAATGTAATATAATCCGAACCGTGAGATTTGTGATCCGTTGCACCCCTACTCTCTTGACTTGTTATTTGAAGAAAAAATACAATATCGTTTATTCGGGCTAGTTAAATTAATTTCGGGGTTACCAAAATCTGAAGAATGCCTACCAGGGATTTTGAAATTTTGCGAGCCCTGCACAATTATTATTAAAGCACCCAATAATGATGTGAAACGTGTGTCACATGTCTACAGCAAAGTGAACTTTTCTTCATCAGCTCACCTTTTTACATAAACAATGAGAAACCATAAAAATGTTCATTTGGCCCCTTCATTCAAGTGCTCGGTTCACATATCAGCAGCTCATTGGTCTTTGGTTCAGTTCAGTGACAGTTGGAGGAACTTGTGTGCTGAATGAGTTGGCAAAAACAGCCTCATAGGATTATATATGCCGGTATTTTGGCTGATTTCGAGTCGCAGTGACTGTCAGGCATCTGAAAGTGAGTTTTGATTGAGTAACTTGTAGATCTGTGCTGCTCGAGCCACGAACTGTTTCAGATTATTCAGACGATTCTGGTTCAAGTAACTGGTTCAAAAGAACGATTTGTTCTCAAACTGGACATCACTACAGATGTTTGCCTGAGGCTCTGGAATAACAGGTAATAATGTCGTAAATAATATTCAGCTTTTTTGCACAGACTGATTGTTTTGCTTCACAAGACCTTAATATATCGTCAGGTGTCTTTGATATGTTTTTTTTTTATTCTCAAAGATGAGCAGCCTCTGACTTGCATTTTATGAATCACTAAGGACCACGGTTTCATTTAAAAATCTTTGCTTATCTACTGAAGAAAAAAAAACAGCTACATCTTGGAGGGTGAGTAAATTAACAGCAGATTTTCATTTTTGGGTGAACTATCCCTTTAAAAACACTCTCAATGGATTTGTTTCTTACATACATGCAGCTTTTCTCTTCACAAGATGTTAACTGATGGACTGGAGTGGTGTGGGTTACTTGTGGATGATTGTGATGTTTTTATCAGCTGTTTGGACTCTCATTCTGACGGCACCCATTCACTGCAGAGGATCCATTGGTGAGCAAGTCATGTAATGCTAAATTTCTCTGAATCTGTTCTCATGAAGAAACAAACTTAGGGTGGCCTGAGGATGAGCACATTTTCAACTAATTTAAATTAGTGTTGTTTTTGGCGGCCTGTTTTAATTTTAGTTTTAGTCTAGTCTTTGTGTGAAGCTGTCATTTTAGTTTTTATTAGTTTTAGTCACGTTCATACTCTTTTTAGTCTAGTCAAGTTTCAGTCAACTAAAAGTCTGAGCATTTTAGTCTTATTTTAGTCAGAATTATCCATGACTATTTTCGTCAGTTTTAGTCGACGAAAACTGATTACATTTTAGTCTAGTTTTAGTCGACGAAAACTGATGACATTTAGTCTAGTTTTAGTCAATGAAAATGGTATTTTAGTCTCTTTTTAGTAATGCAATTCTATTTAACCCAGTCAATATAGTATAAGTACCTAGTAGTATAGACGAAACCAAAATTTTCTTTTAGCCAAACCCATTTCAAACAAGATTATCTTATTATATTATTGTTACCTTATAGACTCAAGAATACATCCATTCCAGACACGGAAGACGCTCTGATTTGAATTTACAACATTTATTTTACCAACCAAACATGTTAGAAGTACACACACATAAATTTAAATAAAGACGAACCCCGGCTGGCCGACTAAACGAGACGAAATAACGTTATAACATTTTCGTTTCATCTCGTTTTGTTTTGGTCAACGAAAATGAAGAGACATTTTAGCATAGTTTTTATTTTGTAAACCACATTTAGTCTCGTTTTTATTCGTCAACAATATTGCATTATACATTTAATTATAGTCATCGTCACATGACCAGCATTTACGTTGCGTCTCGTCTCGTTTTCGTCACGTGATAAAGGTTCGTTGACGACGATATTTAGTCATAATTGTTTTAATCTGTTCTCATGAAGAAACAAACGTATCTAGGGTGGCCTGAGGGTGAGCACGTTTTCAACTAATTTAAATTTGTGTGTGAACTAATTAAGTATTAGAAAGATGTTGTGTGTGTTTGCATTCAAAAACAGCTGAGCACAGCTGAATGAAACAGACCATTGAGACATGACAAATATGATGTTTCTGACACAGAAAAAACAGCAAGATGCAATGAAAAAGTCAAAGAAATGTATCTGATGCATATGTACCGACAATTACAACAGATCAGATGGAACTGCTCCATCTCATGCATCCCATTCCAACTACGCAAGTACTAGATGGAATAATATGTTGAAAATTTGAGCAGTCAAACGTGCTGAAAAAATTAATTACTGATATAATGAATGACTCCCATCATCTATCTGAGCTCAATGTGTGAGTCCGTCTGACGCTGATGTGGCCTGTGTAGTCAGTGCACTTTCCATTAGTTTTAACCGCAACTGTCACTGTAAACTGAATGCTGCTTTGAATAAGAAAGTGTTAACCGGATATCCAAGATAACTGTCGCAGAAGAGAATTAAGGAGCTCCTTCAAAACCCTCAATGCATGGGTGTGGCTGAATATTACAAAGATCTCAAATGTTTGCAGTTTCCTGATTATTAATGCTGCTTTGAGTGATATTCTTAATTATCACATATCAAATGAGAAATATCCTGAGAAAATGGTGAAGAAATCCTTAAATGGAAAAATTAATCATATTGCACTTTGCTCATTTCTCTGAGACAATAACAAACATGCATGCAACAGCAGTGAGGTCTGTTTTCGTTCATATGAATTACATCAATAATAAAAATGCTTGATTTGAGTCATTTCCACTCTAAAAATAACTCTTGAATCTCAAATTTATAACAAATGATCCTCAAAGCATCCTAACTGAGACCAACTTAAAAGCCTCCTCACAACATCAGACCCACACAATGCTGAACTGAGCAACATTTTACACTGTCTGAGGACAAGTAAGGGGAATAAGGTATGAGTTTCTGACCTGCCTGGGATCCCTGAACCGTTTCTGAGAGGGTCCTGGTTTGCTCCGACTGGGCCTCCCCTTATTTTGGCTTGGGGCCCTGATCTGGAGCCCTCAGGACTGCTGTAGAACCACGCTCCCGACTTGGTGAGGATTTCTTGTTGTTTTCGGCACAGGTTGCATACCCACATTACCTACATATAAAATGACAAATTAATATTGGGGAAATTCGGGGACATATGAGATAAGAAGCACAAAAGCAATACAATAACAAACCAAGATGTGCAGTTTTCATGGAGGGCTGGTCTTCTAACTATTTCTTTTTTATAATACAGATGCTACAAACATAACGCGGGTCAGTCAGAGGACCTTTGTGAAAACCCCTGCACCGTCTGTCAGGGTAAGTAGATGATTCAACTATCACAGTATCTTCTACTATTGCTAATAAAACATCTATCCATCCATTTTCCAAACCGATTGTCCTATGTAGTGTTGTGGTGATGCTCCTGAGACCCTGCATCCTCATATGAGGACATTATATTTTAGTGAATTTCTCTGAGACTATACATGCCACAGTTGTAAGTCTGGATGTCCTGTAAAGAGCACATTCAGGGCTTCTCAGAGATCCCAAATGTTTGGATGTTTCACCATGACCACTCCCTCTCCTTGGTCTTCAAAAATGGCTGATATTAATTTATTGACACTCTTATGGAAATATGATCATATTTTTTAATTATCATTTAAATCGGACTAATTTTGAAACTGTTTGTCATAAATCAACATCTCAGGAAAATGTTATGGGGTTTCAAATCAAAATATGGCTTTCTGTTACGAAACAGGACGTTGATTTCTTACATGTACTCAGTTGAGGACACCGGGACTAAAAGCATGTTTATTACACATTTTGGGAGACACAACATATGAATAGGAAAGGAAAATATATTTCAATATTCCTATGAAATATTATATATTAATATGAAAATCTTGTCAATTATTACTCCCATTATTATACTAATTTTTTCATTACATGTTGCCCCAAAAACACATTAATATGCAAATTAAATCGTTTATGGATGTATTGTATTATATAATGGGAAAACCCGTTTATGGGCATTTTACACACATTTTGCATTAAAAAAAAATGGTATATCAAATCATTCTGTTATAACATAGTTCTGATTAATCTTCTTCTTAAAAAATCCTGAAACCTAAAAATGTATTGGTGATTTAAAAAAAAAAATCAATTGTTTTTACCTATGCATGTTCATTCATGTCTTTTTATTTATTTTTTATTTTTTAAATTGAATGAAATGTCTACCGAGGACATAGCATAGCATATGAATGAAATATAATTTAAAAAAAAAAAAATTATTATTTTTTTTCTTATGCTCTAAACAATGTAATGATTGTTTTTCTGGGTCTCAGGAGGTTAACCTAAGAAAAAAAAATAGAATAAGCTTTATTTTATAAAACTGATAGTTCCATTGCTTGATTCTGATTGGCTGAGCTCCTCCACCCCGCTCAGACTTGTATACGACATTTTACATTGCACACAGTTGCTGAATGGCAAACAAGATGCAGGATGACGACTGACTGTGTGATGTAACCTATTAGAATATGCCTTAAAATCCAAGATATGAGGGCAAAATGCCTCTGTATGGGTTTTTGTCTTATATGATATAGTTTAGCGATATCATACGAGTAAGAATATCTGCACGATTGCAAATGTGATATTGATTTTATACAACAGTTCAACAAACAATAAACATTGAAGACACAATATTGTCAGGATTGTCTGTGTTTGCTACATTTCAACAAACGAACACAGTTCCAAACAAAGCCTCTACAAAACTGTACTGAATCTGTGGTTTTGAACGAATCGCGTGAGTCAATGATTCAGTGACTCATTCATAAAGACAGTCACTTGCTTTGTTCCTGAATGAATCAGCCATTTGAACGAATCTATTATCTCGTTAAAATAGTGACTTGCCACCACCTTAGTTTCATATTTAGAGTATCATTTCATTAAAATAATAATAGGCATAATTTCATATTTCAATATTCATTTTTTTTCAATGTTGACTCATCATCAACTTTTCTGTAATTTATATTCAATGCTTTTCTTATTCAACACAGCAATGACTTTAAATGATCTTTGGGGGGTAACTTCTCCGCCCAAGTTGATGTGTGATTAATTAGATAATCGGCACATCATGTAATTAATTAGATTAAACATTTTAATCACTTGACAACACTCATTTACATACAAGATGTACACGTTTGAATAGAAATTACACTAAAGTATATTTTAGTTTATCATACATGCTTGTCAGTACATTCAGTAGTTCACTTTAACCATATTGCAAAGACAACAGAAGTAATTATGAAATTACATATTAAGATGTATTTAAGTCCTACTTAAGGGAATCAGAAATGCAGCAAAAGTCTTAAGTTCATTCCACAAAATATTAAGCTATAATACATTTCCATTTATTTAAAATTTACTTGCATCTAAGTGTTTGAAAATATTACATTCAGTTTGCACTTAGTATATTATTTCCATAATACATATTCTTTTTAAATCGTATGTTAAAGTGTGCTTATTTTTTGCAAGGGTATTTGTTTCCCAATCTGCAAACTACTTTCAATAAATAAGAAAGAAAAAAATATTGAAAACATAAACTACTGTTAAAATCCAGTTCCCTTATAATTTACCATAATTCCATACCATAACATACCAGGTATCCTCCATTTCCATAATGCTAATAGAGTGTGACGGGTTACATGCTAGTTTAGTAGTTGGGGTCATGGCTTTAGAGTTTCAATAACTGTAATAACTATTATTTTGGCAGAGAATATGTTTGCTATGGTGAATGCTTGTTAGACTGTGAGACTGACAGACTCACACCTCTATAAACTGCACACTCACACACTAAAGTCACGCACTCACATTTAAAGCACACTCTCATTTAAACTGAGCGAGAGACAGTGAGAGCGAGTAAATCAATGACAACCATTAGAGCTGCTGCTGCATGGAGGAGAGTGGTCACCTGCCTTTGCTGAGTCACCAGAGACAGAGAGAGAGAGAGAGAGACAGAAAGACAGACAGTTCAAAAGGGAGAAAATGAGTTTGTGTGTGAATGGAATGGGCTCAGAAAATAGAACAAGAGGGCCATTAGTGACAGCCAAGTAATAAGGAAATATTGCCTGAACTGCTTTCAAATGAACTGTGGACATTAAAGTGCTCAATGCAAATGTTGCTACATGAGAAATGCATTACTGCAGAGGCTACACAAATTTCTGCATTTAGAGGAACACAAAGAAACCACTGACTGATACAAGACTTGCAGTATAAAACACTGTGAACAACATAATAAAATTAAAAACTATTTAAAAAAAAAAAAACTACTGATTTATAGAAACAGTGCAGTTGAAGTTAACCATGTGTATGCTAGTTTACAAGTATAGAGACCTGATTAAGTCATTGGCAGTGCTTTATGAAAGTGGGTGGTCACTGCAGCGCTTTTCTGGCACCAGTTGTTTGCTGCAATTTTATGACTGCTGGATATTTCTCTGAGGGATCATGGGTAGTGTAGTTTGTCAGAGGGAACTGCACTGTTAAAATTAGTATTATTTTAAATTAAGATAATAGCAAAAAGACACATTTTCAGCATCGAGTTTTCATTATAT